ATGAAAAACGCAACTTCCCTCGCGGTTGCTGCAGGTAGTGCTGCCGTCTCCGCGTAACGCGTGAGGTGGTCCACGCCGACAATTATCCACCTATTTCCAGAAGACGTCGTGGGAAGTGGTCCGTATAAGTCGATACCGACGCGGTCAAACGGACGCCCTGGACAAGGCAGAGGTTGAAGTGTACCAGCAGGGCGTTGAGGTGGGACTTTACGTCGCTGGCATGCAGTACAAGCACGTACGTACTTGCGGACAAATGTGTACATGCCACGCCAGTAGTACCGCTGACGTAGACGGTTGTACGTTTTGAGAGCGCCAGCGTGAGCACTTTGCGGGTCGTTGTGGAAAGCAGTACAGATTTCCGAGCGCATGTGGTTGGGTATCACTAACAGCCACCTCCGACCTTCAGACGTGTAATTCCGGCGATAGAGTAGGTCGTCTCGAATAGCGAAATGTGTGGCTTGACGGCGGATAGTTCTCGAGACCAAATTGGCTAACGGATCAGTCAGAAAGGCGAGGAGTTGGGAAATCCATACATCTTTGCGTTGTTCCGATGCCATGTCTGTGAAGTCGATTGGTGTTATGACAGCTGAAGAAGGTGACGAGGAGGTTGGGTCAGCCGGTAGCGGCGAGCGGGATAGCGCATCAGCGTCGGAGTGCTTGCAGCCGGATCGGTATACAACACGAATGTCGTATTCCTGTAGGCGAAGCGCCCAACGACCAAGGCGCCCCGACGGGTCTTTGAGCGATGATAGCCAGCATAGAGCGTGGTGGTCCGTGACAACTTCGAAAGGGCGGCCATAAAGGTATGGGCGGAACTTCGTCAAAGCCCAGACAATTGCGAGGCACTCTTTCTCCGTGACGGAATAATTACACTCGGCTTTCTTGAGGGTTCGACTCGCGTAAGCGACCACGCATTCTTGGTACCCTGGTTTTCGTTGAGCCAATACAGCACCAAGACCGACACCACTGGCGTCGGTGTGGACCTCCGTAGGCGCATCAGGGTCAAAATGACGTAGTATTGGAGGTGATAATAATAACCGCCGAAGCGCGGTGAAGGATTCGTCGCACTCTTTTGACCACGCAGAAATGCCTTTGGAAGTTGTCAACAGGTTAGTAAGAGGCGCGATGATGGAAGAGAAGTTGCGCACAAATCGACGAAAGTATGAGCACAGGCCGATAAAACTTCGAAGCGTCTTGATGGAATTGGGCTTCGGATAGTCGGCCACGGCGCGGAGTTTTGCCGGATCCGGGAGAACACCCTCTTTGCAGACGACGTGACCCAGTATAGTGAGCTGACGTGCGGCAAAATGGCACTTCTTGATGTTAAGTTGAAGGCCAGCAGAGGTGAGACAAGTGAGAATAGCACGAAGACGAACAAGGTGAGCCGAAAAGTCGCGAGAAAAAACGACGATGTCGTCTAGGTAGCAAAGGCACGTGTTCCACTTGTAGCCGCGAAGGATGGTGTCCATCATCCGTTCGAAGGTAGCTGGGGCATTGCAGTGTCCAAACGGCATGACGTTAAACTCATACAGCCCATCAGGTGTTACAAATGCAGTCTTCGATAGGTCAGGATCAGCATTGGAACTTGCCAATATCCTGTACGTAAATCTAAAGAGGAGAAATATTCTGCTCCTTGCAAGCAATCGAGAGCATCGTCGATGCGTGGCAACGGGTACACATCCTTCCGAGTTATCTTATTGAGCCGCCGGTAGTCGACACAGAATCGGATAGACCCATCCTTTTTGCGCACAAGTACAACAGGGGACGACCAAGGGCTCTGCGATGGCTGGATGACACCACGCTTGAGCATATCGTCGACTTGTTCGTTGATAATACGGCGCTCTTCCGCTGGAACTCGATATGGTCGTTGGCGTAAGGGAGCATGAGTACCGGTGTCAGTGTGGTGCGTGATGTTCGCTGTGCGACCCAAAGATGGTTGAGCGCAATCGAAGGCAGAACAGAACTCTCGAAGAAGGGACAAGAGTTCCCTTCTTTGTGTCGGCGATAGCTCAGCGGCAACAGAGGGCTGGAATGAGTTTGGCGCGGGCAGTGTGGCCACAGGTGGCGTCATAGCATTGAGCTGGAGGTGAGGTGGGTGTTCGGCGAACTCTAGAGGGCGCAAGAGGTCAACGTCTTGTACGTTACCCAAACATTCTCCGCGAAGTAAGGTAACTGGCGACGATAGCGAGTTCGCGACGAGCATGGCGGTAACACCGGATTCCGCGGTGAGTACGGCAAAGGGCAGGTGTAGGCTATGGCGGCAGGTAAATACGTCAGACAGAGTGAACAAAACAGTTCCGGCAGGAGCGGCCGTACAGGTCAGGGCTACAAGGGTGGATGTTCTCGGTGCTATTTCCGTGTCTGCAACAACGACAAGTTTGTAAGCTTCAGAAAGAGAATCTACCAAACAAGAGGTTGGCAGCGGTTTAAGGGCAACTTCTGCACGTGAGCAATCTATGATGGCTCGATGACGCGAAAGAAAGTCCCATCCAAGAATGACTTCGTGGGAGCATGATGCAAGCACAAAAAATTCAATGGCATAAAGTTCACCTTGGATAATGACACGTGCAGTGCACACAGCTGTAGGTTCTATGCACTGCGAGTTGGCCGTGTGGAGAATCAGGCCCGAAAGAGGCGTCGTCACCTTTTTCAACTTGCGGCATAAGGTCTCACAGATTATAGAAACGGCGGCCCCTGTGTCGATAAGCGCTTGTGCGGCGGTCCCCTCAACATTGACGTCAATAACGTTTTGCGGCGAGAAAGATGGAGGCTTTAAGCAGTTCGATTTGTATGCAGCTGTTGCCTCCGGAGCTGCAGCAATCAGTTTCCCTCTTCCGTAGCAGGTCGGCGACGCATAGGTGACAGGGAGCGTCGTCGGGGCGATGGTGACCGATGGTTTGCGTAGGGTCGAGGACCGTCAGTGGTGTACCTTGATGGCGTCCTAGACGACGACGCCATTGGCCGGCCCACGGTGTCGACTGGAGGGGGATTTCGGCGACAGTGGCGGGCGACGTGTCCAGCGATACCGCAGGCAAAACAGACGGGCCTATTATCCGGCGTCCTCCAAGCGTCTGAGCGACGGTAAAATGGAGCTGACGATCTCACGTAGGGATATGGCGCAGCGATTGGGGTTGTAGGCACGACATAGGGTGGCGTGGCAGGTTGAGCACATGGCATACGCTGTTGCATAGGCTGAGCAGCGACGGCGGCGTACGTGAGAGGCGTAGTGACTGGTGGTTGCTGATGCATCAGCGGAAGGGCCTCAGCGACTTGGGTCCGAATGACGTGTTGGAGGTCCGGTGCCAAAGCTTGCGTGGGCTCATGTGTCAGTGGCAGCAGTGACAGCTAGCGCTACCTCTTCGCAGACGAAGTCCTTGATTGTCGAAAGCAGCGGCTGCTGATCGGTAGGATGGGCAGCTAGGTGCAAGCTTGCGAGCGTGTCTGGCGTCGTGAGGGCTTGACGAGCAATTGCGCGCTGCCTACACAATTCATCGAAGCTTTGACAGAGGGAAACGAGGACAGCAATTGTGGGGGGATTTCTCGCGAGCAACATCTGAAAGGCGCCGTCGTCAATGCCTTTCAATATGTGCCTGACTTTTTCTTCCTCAGGCATGGTAGAGTTGATGCGGTTGCATAGATGCAACACATCTTCAATGTAGCCCGTGTAGGTCTCGCCTGGTTGCTGCGCACGGTGACGTAAATGGTGCTCGGCTTGAAGTTTGCGTGCCGCAGGTCGTCCAAAGACATCTGTAACAGCAGTCTTGAATGCAGACCACGTAGTAATGTCAGCTGCATGGTTATTAAACCACAGTTGCGCGGTGTCCGCAAGGTAGAATGTGACGTAGCCCAGCTTACTTGGGTTGTCCCACTTGTTACTTGCGCCGACTTTGTCGTACCTTGCCAACCAATCTTCGACGTCTGACTCAGTGGAGCCCGTGAAGATAGGAGGGTCTCGTTGAGGATACACGGCGCCGCAAGTGACACGGATGGTCGAAGATCCCGCCTGGAGAGGCGTCTCAGTGGCCATGTTCGTGTCACGTAGAGGGGGAAGCTTACGGGAGCGAAGTTCCAGGTTTGTACAGGAGTCCACACACCTCCACCAGATGTCACGCAGTTTATTTACGTACAGACCTACTGGAAGGCTGAGTAACGCCAAAAGAGCGAGGAACGTCAACAGGCCAAAAATACAAAACAAACGCAAGCTCGGGTCGCGCCTGTGCACCAACGCTGTGGCTTGCCGTTTAATGCTACTTCGTCGTCGTTCGCATAGTTCCCTACAATATATATATAGCTACTAATGTAGTTTTTCTTATGATAATCGATTATTGCTGGATCTTTTATAGCTCTGCTAGAGTGCCCTGATATGCCATATTTGACGAATTCTGATGGCTTTTACATAATGGTGACATGCGTAAATGAAATTCTGGCAGGACATAAGTGCTACGAGCATTAATTAATTTTCACCAATGCCTATTATATGAAAGAAAACCTAGGTTTTTGTCCAATTTTTTTTTTCAAATAGCACCTATTAAGCATTATAATTACGACAATTGTAGGACTAGGTCATACAAATAACAATGACAAAATAGTGTTCTAATTACTTTCTAAAAGCAAAACTATGCGTGCCATTTATAATGTAAATATGGTAATAGCAACAGTAAATACAGAAAATGAATGGCAAACATTTTTCTCCCATGTGGTGTCCCCAGCTGACACAATTTAACGTACCTTTAAATGCTCGATTTTTTTCGTTGTAGAATATAGTTGATGAGGTTTCTCTTAGTTTTATTTTTTACAAAACAAATCATTGTGCACACAGACACATGTACATAAATATATCCTTTTTTTCCATGAAGTTGGGGATGGCAGACAAAATTGGTTGGGGCTGTTGACATAAAATGACCATGTTCTGACCATGTTCTGTCACACATAAGAAAAAATGCAGCATGCTTTGCAATACAAAAACATTCATTCTTCATAGCCATGAGAGTATTACAATATTAGTTGTAGCTATTACTGTTTTATTGCATCCATCAACATTACAAACAATGCCTTTCAGTTCAATCAAGTGACTAGAGAATGCTAAATCGAAGAATGCTGATCTCTTCAAGAGTGCAATATCAGCCTTGTCCAAGTTGTCCTGATTTCAATGCTACTGAAAAAAAAAATGTTCACAGATTAAGAAGATGCCATACTTACACATAGCGCTGAAAAAGTACTACGCAGTCTCTAACCTCTCACTATTATAACGCGTTAGGCGAACAGCACTAAATCAATAAGGCATCCTAGAACGTTCCGCATCGCTTTCGTATGCACAAGTCGAAAGATGCAAGGAGGATGAGTAGCCAATCTACCCTCACTTCGCAATCTATAAAGGGGCCCTGCAGCAGCTTTTCAGTATGGTCAGGAAATACTGCCAATCGATAGTGGAGATTTCTGAGAACATGCGAGCCGAACATTATAGCGAATTATGTCTCCTAGAATTCACAATTAATTCTTTATTTCAGCTATAAATCTCTTTCTCTTTTCTACAAATGATGCTATATACCCAAATTACTTAAGAATAAACCAAAGTCAATGGCTGTTGGCTGATTTGCTCATCGTGAGCTGCATAGTTACCATATCCACTGCATGATGTCCCCATGTGCCTGCCCGCATGCTTTCAGTCATACTGAATGTAAGTCGCACGTCAGAAAAAAAAATGAAAAGAAACTGCTCCAACAAAGGACACATCTTTTTGCCCTCTCGACAACCCCTTCTCTGCGCAGCATTCAGCATGCTAACTGGTATGAAAGCAGAGACAAAGTGCTTATGATGTGTGACAAATCCTTGTAACTCTGCTCATACTTGACATATTTTAAAAATTCTTGTGGCTGTTGATTCTTGAAACAATAAGCTCTTCTAATGAAGCTATTTGATGATTACTTTAAAAAGTGTTGCAGGGCCACTTTAATCATGATAGACTGTTCAGCAGCAAAACCTTTTTTTTTACTTGGTTATATTCAGTAGTTTTTGAATGGCAATGATTGCCTATTAGTAGAGTGATGTATATGTATTCATAGCAAATAAAACAACGTTAAAACTTCATACCAGGCATATACCGTCACACAGAAACTCAAACAAAGAAGTCATTGGCTGAGAGAGCCGAGTGCTGCATTGATGAATGGCTTGAATATACAATGAAAGCAAGCCTGAGCACAAGATTGACCATGAGGCTGCACATCTGCAACCAGAATCACCAGAGAGGTAAAATGTCCTCCTGGTGGGGAACTGTTTTCTGCAGAAATTTTAGAACGAGTTAACACTGTGTTTAAAGGACCCCTAAACTATCCAGACGTCGAAATTCAGTCATGGTGGGAAAGTGGGGGGGGCGCAAGTGTACAACAAACACAAAGCCAAGAGAATTTTTCGAAACGGTGCCATAATAGGGAAGTTAGACGTGTTTGATCATCAAAACGTTGCAATCGCTGCTTTTGGTCTTTTTTTCGCTACCTTCCACTTGTACCCTCTCTCAAAACCGCTTTGCCTTCTCACCAAGTGCGCCTCCCTGTATTTCTCGTCCCATCATGTGAGTTTTCCTTTTCATTTTTTACTTAACCCCCTCACCAACTTTTTTTCACTTCATGTTTCTCATCTCCTCTCATATCTTCCCTCTTTTGCCTTACTTTCTTTTCTTCACTCTCACTGTCCCTCCAGTTTCTATTCCCCACCGAGTGTATCGGTTGAGGTGTCAGTTATGGTGCACTCCACACCCCATTTTCTTACCTTTCCGTTTTTTCCTAAAGAATTACTACCCCCCCCCTTTCTCATTCTCGCATGGCATGCAGATGCACATGCGGTCTGTGAGTGGCTAGAGGAATGTGTGCTCCATGGAGAGGGAGCACGCGGGCAACACATCAAACAACAAGGAGCACGATCTGCAGGCTAACCAATTACTCGACCAATCGCAGCATAAATGCGCTGCACATCAGATTCAACTATCGATGCCATAGGGAGGCCGGAAAGACCTGGAGAGGAGGAGGGATCGTTTTTTCAAATTCGTGGCGCACCGGCGGCTCGCGGCACTGTCACGTGACATCGTTGATCGTGAAGGCATTCTGCACACGATGCGCACCTTCACTTGAAATGTATGAAAAAATATTGGAGGTAGTTTAGTGGCCCTTTAAAAGATATTGAAATGTAAAGGTGAAAACTGGGTAAGGAGTGTTACTTAGGTGCTGTGTTCACCAGCAACACTGCAGGCATGTAGCAGTTCAAGTAGGCTGCTTCGTGAAGTCCAACGCAAATACACCACAGGAATTCTTCCAACATTGGCCAAAGGAGCAACTAGTTCCAAATTCTCCATTTACAGCAAAGAGCAACCACAAGCAGCCACCAAGCTGCCAAAGACGACCATCTACACTGGCCTCGCCTACCTCTTCATTGGCCGACCCTCGAGAAAAAAACCTTGTGTAAGTATGTGAGAATGGAGTGCCGCCGATGGTGTGAACTGTTGTCTTGTCTAGAAATTATTCGTTCAGCAGGCTGAGAGTGCGGGAACACACAACAGATGAAGGAAAAACCACACAACATGAGAGATCACTAACTGGTTCAATGCTTTTGCTTGTCTAGAAACCCTGAGTGTGAGATTTTGTATGCTTTAGTTTTAATTCTAATCCACTGTGTGCCATGAGTGCAGCAGTGCTACTGCCCTGTTTATAAATCCATTGCTACAGAAAAGCTACATAAATTAACAAATCCGAACACATACTGTCAGATGCAACGACACAGACATTTTTCTGATGATGTTATGTAAAGGGTCGGACTTGACACCACAATTGCATTAACTTTCACTGCTGTCAAAGAAAATACGTTCTACTTATAGTAAGTAAGATGTATAAAAGAGTGAAGCACTATGCCAGTGCGTTTGTACTTTGCATGTCATATTTTTTTCACAATCTCCATTAAAGGAACTAAAACTTCTACATTAACATGCTAAAATGTTCTTGCCAACCTACCCATCTGAGCCATAATGATTTGTTGTCTCCTGGAAAGTGGTTAATGTTTAACATTCCAGCGTTGCAGTGAACCCACTGCTATCGTATCAGTACAGAGCTATCTGACAAAGCACCATATTCCTACTTTAACAAAGCTATATATTTCACCTACCCTATTGTAGTGTGACTTCTCATTTCCTTCAAAAACTGCAATTGAAAGAAAACATTATAAAGATGTTGCAGTAATATGAAGTGCTGAGCTTAATGTGGTGAAGAGCATCCTAAGTGAAGCCTTTTCTGCTTACTCCCATGACCTCCAAAAATGGCGGCAGACTACTTTGACAATATGTATGTATATCAAACAGATGCCACTACCTTACGGGAAACGACTGACCATGGCCATCACCATGCAGGGCCAGTGTTCTTTCTAGATAATACCACGGTGTTTCCCTTGTCAATCCTTAATATTTACTCCTTAAATGATTCCTTGCCCATTCCCCTTGTGTTTGGAATGGGTAGTTTTGACAGCATGTCCGATTATACCGAACTTTTGAAGTAGCAAACATATTTCATGCATGGGTGATGTTTGCTGTACCTAGGTTTTAACGTATTAATATATATACTTAAAACTACCAGAAAGCCTGACAAGGTAATAAGTTTTTACAAAGTTGTGAAAAGCAATTCGTAAGCAAGAATATTAAGCAATACAAAAGAAATATGAAATAGAGAGGGTCTATGAATTTCATTGTGAATGCATTGCATGAGTTTCTCACTGAAGTGCACACACCATGAGTTTCTCACTGAAGTGCTCTCACTGAAGTGCACACTGAAGTGCACACACACTGAAGTGCACACAGGCCTGTTATAGCCTCGATTCCACTCCTTACTGGCAAAATAGGCACCATGAAAATGTTTTAAAAAATGAACCTACACACCTCTCTCTCACTCATTTGTCTTGATGTTCAAAGATCAGTGGCAGTAGTTGCATTTGGGATGGCATTTTACTCCATTCACTCCACATTTGCAGCCAGCAGAAGTATCTCCTTTGCCCTAGAGAAAAAAAAAGAAAAAAAAAAAGTCAAGCAGTACAGGGCACCAGCGCCACAGTAAATATTGATGTCTCGTCAGTGGAAAGTACTTACAACTGCAACAAAGAAAAAAATTCTTCAACAATAAACTTCTCACAAGTGATTCAATGACGTGCTACATTTTTTTGCTTATAACTTGGTTCACACGCAAATTCTACAATTGGCAGGAAAAAACCTCCACCTTCATTTGTTTTTATTTTATTTATATTTATATTCACATACTTTAGCTTTAATGAGGCTGTTGCACGAGCGACAAAAGAAAAACAAAAACAAGAACAAGTCAACATTAATGAACAGGCTTCCAAAAATTTTTGAAGTGGTAGAGAACGAACACATCCAGGCAGCATATTTCAGGCTTCTATAGTTGAAGGGAAAAAGCTGTGTTTGAACATGTCAGTGTGGGTGAAAAAAATTTGCAATTTTAAGGGCATGGTCACTCCTGATCGACAAAGATTTGGAAAATTTTAGATAGAATTCTAGAGTGCCAAAGTGAAAAAAATTGATTAAATTGTGCAGAAATTTCAGGCATTCAGCATGACAATGCTTCACAAGTGTAGTGAGATCTAGCTGGGAACAAAATTCGTTGGAGAAAATCTCTGTCGTATCTCTTGCATGTAAAGCACACAGCTTTTTTTTTTTAATGGATTCTAGTTTCTTGATGTCACATTCAAGAATGGGACAAATAAGAGTTTTGTAGGTAAACAGTTTGGTTTTCTGAGGATCTGAGGAGCAAGACGATGTGAATAACCTAGGCTTTAAGTTGCATGTGAAATCAATATGTTTGGACCATGATAAATTATGTGTGATAAGAATACCAAGATACTTAAGTTCAGACACCCTACAAAGACTGACATTGTTGAAACCATAGTAAAAAATCAACGGGCATGAACATCTGGTAAATGACATAACGACTGTCTTAAAGAAATTAACATTCATTTTACTAAAATTTGAACCAGCTAAAAAAATTTTAAAAATGAATTGTTGAGAATGACATGATCAAGTGGAGATTTAACAGTGTGATATATGATGCAGTAATTTGCGATAAGGCGTATCTTCACACTAGAAGACTAGAAGACTCGAAGACTCTTCAGACTAGAAGTATAAGAATGGGGTGGAGCACATTTGGCAAGCACACTCAAATAATGACAGGTAGATTGCCACTATCCCTCAAGAGGAAGGTATATAACAGCTGTATTTTGCCGGTACTTAGCTACGGAGCAGAAACCTGGACACTTACAAAGAGGGTTCAGCTTAAATTGAGGATGATGCAGCGAGCAATGGAAAGAAAAATGGTAGGTGTAACCTTAAGAGACAAGAAGAGAGCAGAGTGGATTAGGGACAAACAGGGGTTAAGGATATCATAGCTGAAATCAAGAAGAAGAAATGGACATGGGCCGGGCATGTAGCGCGTAGACAGGATAACCGCTGGTCGTTGAGGGTAACTGACTGGATTCCCAGAGAAGGCAAGCGGGTTAAGGGGAGACAGAAGGTTAGGTGGGCAGATGAGATTAAGAAGTTTGCGGGTATAAATTGGCAGCAGCAGGCACAGGACCGGGTTAACTGGCAGAACATGGAAGAGGCCTTTGTCCTGCAGTGGACGTAGTCAGGCTGATGATGATGATGATGATGATGATGATGATGATGTATCTTCACAGAAGTGTGCAAGGGGAGGTCATTAACATAAAGCAGGAATAAGAGGGGTCTTAACACAGAACCCTCGGAAGCTCCTGATGAAACCAGCATTGAAGGCGAATTAATAGAGTTGAAGCGCACATATTGTGAACGATGCAAAAAAAAGCCGGATATCCAGCCAACCAATGATGCATTCTTTGGTATACCAAACAATTTGTGCAATAGTTTAGGATAAAATTCAGTGTCGAAGGCCTTGGCAAAATCAATGAATATGTTATTATTCTGGTCACCTATGTCTAAAAAGCTGCTGATGTCATGGATGAATTCTCTCAGTTGAGTAATGATGCTAAGACCACATCTGAAACTGTGCTGGAAAGTGCTCAAAATTTTGTCTTTTTCAAGGAATTCTATGATGTGTTTGAAGACAATATGCTTTAGCATTTTACATGAATGTGCTGTTGAAGAGATGGGTCTATAATTGCTTGATAATTTAACAATACCTGATTAAATAAGGGAAGAATAGTGGCACGTTTTCACAAGGATAGAAGTGTCGCTGACGAGAGAGATTTTCTAATAACTGTGAGGTATCTGCTACACCAAAGATCATATTTAATGAGGAAAGCTGTTGGGATGCCATTGGGACTGCATGATTTCTTGGTGTATAAGTTCAAAATGAGATTGAGTATGACCTCAAGTGACATTGACACATCGTCGATTTAAGGATGAGATTTTGAATGAAAAGCAGGAGTGTCCAAGATGTCAGTCAAAGAGACTGAGTGGAAGTAGGTGTTAAAGGCTGAAGTGATTATCTCTGGATCATAAACTGTAACATCGTTAATTTTCATCGTGTGAGATGAAGAACCAGATGGTAGGATGGCCTTCCGGAATTTACAGGGATTTGATTTCATTAGCTTTGGTAAGGTAACCATGTAATGATGTTCTATAGCAGCCCAACTCATTTTAGCAGGTAGTTTTTTTTAGTGATAGTAAACTGTTGAAGCTTTGTCGAGTCACCAGAGCGCTTTGATCGACGTAGTCTGGCCACACAACGTGACAAATGTAAGATATCTCTAGTCATCAGGGGTATTTCAGTGTTTGTTTTCTTTGTTTTCAGATAAATGAAACGATTGATACAGTCAGTTACTGACAAGACCTTCGAAAAAAGTAGATAATATACTGACGTCAGTGGTTGTGCTTTTTAGCTCAAATTCTTGAAAAGAGTCACAAAGGGCCTCTGTAATTGCTTGATCATCAGCGGATGGTCATCCGCTGATAAATTAAGGATGGTCGTCTACTAGTAGGCATAGTATGTTATTCTACTACTATAGTCACTCCAATGGTGACCAAGTTCATGGCAGCATTTCAATGCACAAAATAACGAAATGAGCACTGGATTTTGACAGTCTATATTCAGCATATTCAGTCTCTAATAGGCTTTTTTTAATGCACTTCTCTGCCATGTACTTAGTGTAAACTAATCAATCCTTGCTTGAAATGACTGAATTAGAATGCAAGTTTGATTCATAGCCATGTGCAGTTGAATTTCAATGAAGTCAATCAATCAAAAAAAAACTCATGTACCCCAGTTGGCCAATTATTAGAGAATCCCCCGCTAGTGGCATGCCTCGGAAAGATACTGAGGTTTTGGTACATAAAATGCAAAATTCAAGAAAACTTTAACATATTAATACAAAAATATAATTAGCTGAATTCACAGACCTGTCAACTGCAACTTTTCACAACACAGACAAAGACAATAATAATAATAATAATAATAATAATAATAATAATAATAATAATAATAATAATAATAATAATAATAATAATAATAATAATAAAATTAATAATAATATTAATAATAATAATAATTATTATTATTATTATTATTATTATTATTATTATTATTATTATTATTATTATTATTATTATTATTATTATTATTATTATTTGGTTTAATGTTCCAAACAATTACATTATTGTGAGAGATGCCGTAGTGAGAGGATTCGTAAATTTCAATCATTTGGGGTTTTTTAATGTGCACAAAGTATAAGTGCACAGGCCTTGAGCATTTCCGTCTCCTCCAAAAATGCGACCGCCATGAACACAAAATGCTAAAACAGAGCAAATACTGAGTACCAACCTGAGGTCCCCATCGAGGACCTTTAGTAACCCAGCAGATTTCTGTCTGGCACACAGAACATTTCAGCCAGTCGCAACCCCATTTTTTCATGACAATAACACGACATTGCGGGCAGTGCATTGCTTGGCCTTCCTGCACCATTTTCTGCAAAAGAAATGTTGAAAGCATTATTTGCATATATTCGTTGTTTAGTACTAGTTATGGCATTCAAAAAGCACTTATAGGGCTTTTTATTGCACTGTTTACCAGCCAGCAACCAAAAATTACACACTTTTCACATTTTATTCCATCCAAAAATTTGTGTTGCTCTACATATATTTTTTAGAAAGAGCATTTCATGGTGCAAAATTTGGTATGCTGCAATGCGTACTGGAGTATTTTTCAAACTGGCAAAAACTATCTATCCAAGACATATGAAAGATAACCAGCTTCAGTGATGACCTCATCATTGGCCAACTGAATACAGTAGACTCTCATTAAACTAAACCTGAAAGGACCAGTAAAATGTATTCTGTTTAACAGGAGTTCCGTTTACTGAGAGATTAGCAGGGGCATACAATACAAGAATGTAACCAATCTTGTCAGAAACAATTGTTTCATTTAAACAGCAGTTCCATTAAACAGATTTCCATTTACCGAGATTCTACTGTAGATGGTTTATATTGAGCTTTTTTTTTCTGCCTAGCATTTAGAGAAAAACAAACAGGCACTTGTTAATTGCTGAGCATATCAGAAAACTTGGCTTCACAATGAATTCTTTTCAGTTAGAGCATACTGTGTATATAGACATCATTCCATAAAACATGACTTAATACAATACTTTACAGATAATTGCATGTTAAGCCATTAAGTGTTCCACATAAACATTATTAAAGCATGTTCAGTCTGTTGTCAAGTAATGCCAATGCCAAATGTTAAATGCCACAACGGTAAGGGTAGGAACCCTGCTAGGCTTCTTGTACTTTGTTCTTGTTCTGAATGTATATGCATTCATAGACATTTGAAAACTTCATACTTAAAATATGAAATTACATTTGTGCAAGAAAGATGATTTAATCTGACATCTCTTAAATTGAGAGAAGTGGCATGCTATGTTTCCATACACTCTTCCGCAGCAGTGCTTCATTTGCACTTTCACACATCTATGCAGCTTTACCTTGCAGCATCACGAGTCGACTAATGTAGCACAGCTGGCAGTATCTCTTCACAGAGAAAAAGTATCAGTACCCAAGTAACCACGGATATCTGCTGGCTGTCCATTACGAATACAGATGTCTGGCCATATTGATATCCAATACGGATAGCCAATGGACGTACTGTGAAAATACATGTCCTGTGTGGTTGTTTTCTGGACGTCCGTACTGGATGTCCAACCGGACATTAAGTTTTGAACATTGACTGGCTGTCTATATAAGGACATGCCAAGCATATGTGTATTTGCACATCAATTGTTATAAAATTAGAACGTAGTGAAATATATATAGATCAGCCGAATACCAGAAAACAATCTTGTAAAATTTCATTGAAAATGTTACTATAAAATTCATTCAAACTTCTACAAATACATTTGATCACAGGATGCCAAATAACTTTTCCTCATCTGGCAAAACAATCTGGCTGATTCCCTAAGTGTATCATATGTTATAAGAAACAATGTATTTAGTTTTATTATTATCGCATGTGAACTGACCAAAATGTGGATCGAGCGCATCATAGCAGTCATCATGTAGGCAAACTTTTCATGGACCAGCCTCGATCGACACTTCTCAACAAGCGGTGCGTCGCAGTTGCTCAGATTCCTCAAACGTACACGTCATGCTAGCCATGCCCCTTTAGATGTGTTGAGAGAAAACACATGTCATTGTGCCTATTGTCCTGAAACCTGCTTGACCAGCGGTGCGCAGAGGGAAGCCCGGGAAAGGAGGATGTTCGTGTCGCGTCGCACGTATGTATGCTGAGCCGGTCTCCGAGGCTCCGAGCAGCAGAAGGCAGATTTTTTTTTCAAGTGTGCTCGTGTGGACATCAATAGCAATATGTGAAATTACGAAGGATGACTCTTCTTCAAGAAACACTGAAAGGTTTTTGGCAGAGATCACTGTTTTCGACAGAGATTACCAAAGCAGCAGCAACCTTGTTCACTCCCACGGCACAGATAAGGTCACCTATTACACATTTGTTCTTTACTCTCATATCAGACATTTATCTATTCTTATCACACATTAACTATTGCCCATCATTTGTATAAGCCCTGCTAATACGTGGTATGCTTTCAGTTTTTCATTTGCTCACATATTTCTTGCTATTAATTGATTGATTGACGAGCACGTAGTCAGTCCCTCTGCACCTTTTTTAGAAGCATGTGCAACACCCAATAGTTTTTCTCCTGTGCTTGTTTGTATGTACGTATTGCAGTTACTAGAATAACATTACCACAAACACACACGAGTTAGGTCTGTTCCTAATAATTTAATCAACTCGCAAAAAAGCAATTGCTGCTGCCTAAGAAGTCATTGCACTTGAAGGCGGAAGGGCATTGAACACTGAAATCTTGTAAGGCTTCGTACACACTTTCACAATTGCGGCTGCAGACTGTAAGTTATGTGCTTCTTATCCTTGATATATGTTGATAATAAAGTCGTAATTGTTCGTGAAAGCTCGCTTGGACATCTTTTTTTTTTTTAAGAATTCCTTTGCAGCAGGAAAGTTTCTGCGGAAAAAAGATGGGCCTCCGAGGATGTGTGGGTACGTTGTTCACATGAAAGGTTTTTCTTGAACACACAAACCCTATGTGTGTATATGTGTGAGTGTGTGTGTGTTTATATATATATATATATATATAGTCAAGTAGATCTGTGAGCGGTCACAACATGGTTTATTTCGACGTTTCGGCCTAGACTCTGGCCTTCATCAGGATCCTGAATTCCTGATGAAAGGCCAGACTCTAGGCCAAAACGTCGAAATAAACCATGTTGTGACCGCTCACGGAGGATCTACTTGACCATATGCAACGCTACGGCTACAGCCACTCAACCACCATGCCTGCCATATATCGTCTATATATATATATATATAGTGTTTACACATCTTGACATAATTTTCCCACAATGTCAAAGATCTATTTCTTTAGTGTTGAAGACAGGATCTGAGTGCCGAAGCACCTTTTCTGTTCTTTTTCACAATCTGAAGCACAAACTACAAACGCTGTGAAAGCCATGTACCCACATATTTTTGCAAATAACATCAAGGAAGTCTGCATAATATATATATATATATATATATATATATATATATATATATTATATATATATATATATATATTATAAAGGGGTTTATTGAATAAAACCAACTGCCTGGTTCAAGAGGCGTCAGTCACTGTCACGAGCTCAGCTCTTCGTCGTAGTCGTCTTTCAGGTGCTCAACTAGTACTGTCTCTCTCCTTCTTCCCCACTACATCGGTGGTGAAGAGGAGCCATCCTGGCAACTCACGGCGAAGCAAGCACAAGGGGATCATAGTAAGGTTTTAAGCGGCTGATGTGAACTGTCTCACGACCACGGCATCGTCTGTCATCGGCAGGTGTCACTGGTTCGACGACTTAGTTGACCGGTGACGTGCATTGAACGATGCGGTACGGACCATTGTACTTGGGTGCAAACTTTTGGGAGAAGCCGGGGGACTGGAATGGAACCGAAAGCCATACAAATGAGCCTACGGGGAAGCTGTGAGCAGGCTTGTCTTGGTCAAGTCGTTCTTTTTGGAGACCTTGTGCGACAGGCGTAAATGACCGCGCAAATTGGCGGCACTCTTCGGCAAACTGAACAAGTTCGGAGGCTGGGTGGTATTCTGAAGCATCTCGGCGGTAAGTAAGTATCGTGTCAAGCGTAGAAGAGGGCCCACATTCGTACAGTAGAAAAAAAGGTGAAAACCCAGTAGTTGCTTGCGTGGCCATATTATACGCATACGTCACGAAAGGGAGCACCAAGTCCCAATTAGAATGGTCGGAGGATATGTACATAGAAAGCATATCACCGAGCGTGCGGTTAAAGTGCTCTGTCAAACCGTTTGTCTGTGGGTAATAGCTTGTAGTGGTGCTATGAATAATATTGCACTCACTGAGAAGCTCCTGGACGACTTGCGATAGAAACGCACGCCCACGGTCGCTAAGCAGCTCACGTGGCGCGCCATGGCGAAGGACAAAGCTACGCAAAATGAACAAGGCGACATCACCAGCAGCAGCGGCTGGCAAAGCGGCGGTTTCAGCGTAACGGGTTAGGTGGTCAACGGCCACAATAGTTCAGTGAATCCCCGCAGGAGTAGAAGGTATTGGACCGTAGAGGTCAATGCCGATTCTAACAAACGGCCGAGCTGGACACGGTAATAGTTGTAATTCACCAGAGGCATGACAAGTTGTTTTCCGTCACTGACATTTAGTGCAGGAGCGTATGTACTTGCAAACGTGCAAGTACATTCCACGCCAGAAAAATCGCTGACGAAGCCAGTCGTATGTTTACAAAACGCCAGCGTGCGCGTTTTGAAGGTCTGCGTGGAAGTACACGCACATGTTAGAGCGCAAATGGCGAGGTATAACAAGAAGAGCATTTCCTACCATCCGGCTGATAGTTGTGATGGTACAACATGGCATCCAGTACTGCATAATGGGGAATTCGCCGACGTAGTGCACGAGGTAGACGCTGGCGTGGTGTCACCGAAGACGAGGAGAGAACGCCGATGAGTGAGGCTATCCAAGGGTCCTTGCGTTGTTCCGAAGGCATGTCAGCAGTATCGATGCTGCCGATGGTAGCTTCGGCGAAGGAAACGGGTGCAACGGCTGAAGGAAGGGGCGAACGAGAAAGAGCATATGCGTCGGTGTGCTTGCGGCATGAGTGGTAAATGACGTGAATATAATTCCTGTAAACGTAGCGCCCAACGTCCAAGCCAGCCCGAAAGATGCTTCAATGAAGCGAGCCAACCGAGTGAATGGTGATCTGTAACTACATCAAATGGCCGTCCATATAAGTAAGGACGAAATTTTTGTAATGCCCTGCCTTGGTTAGGGTGCGACTGGCATACGCAACTGCATACTCCGAGAAGCCAGGCTTGCACTGAGCAAGGACAGCGCCAAGTCCTATGCCACTGGCATCCATGT